GCACAACACAGGAGACGCATTTATGGCCGTGTAGAGCCAAATCACTCAAAACAAACAGAAATGAAATGTATGAAAGAATTTGCTGAGAAGTCTTCCTGCTACATTCCACTCCAAGGAAGCAGTGAACACGGATGGGAAGTAAGGAACATGTAGGTTTACAGCATGGCTGAGTACAAGAAATGTGCACCCAATGCCGCTAACCATAGCAATATCTCGTGCAGAGTTCACTATCGTGGACTCCTGACATAAGTGGATGTGTGTCTGCATCCAACTGCAAAATAAATAGCCTGTCTGCTGGAGTTAGCGTAACGGGTCCTGTTTCCACAGAAAGGCTACCCACATCCTAATACTAGTTCCATTGTTACTCGCCATATCTACCTGCTGGCCTAGTGAAGGGGTAACCACAATCCATCATCGTGTAGTTTATTCACTTTTTGACTTATAAGGGAACATTTAGCTAATTTACGTCGATTTCATTGACCTACTTTCACACCTCGGCACAATCACCTGCTTCAATTTGTAAGGCTTGAGTTCACGCTGTCCTTAGACTTGACACAATTGTTTACTGACACATCTGCAGATGCATCACAACAAAGCTTTCAAATCATTGCCTTCCCATCTTGTCAGAGGAATATTTGGTCAATTGGCTCATGACAGGATATGCTAGGAGGCATTAGCTCATTAAGACCCATTCGGCTCGCACTGCGCAATCCACACACCACCGCCTATCTTTTAATTCACGGAAAATCGTCCAATCCGCCCAAACCCAAAATAAAAACGCTGAAGCAGAGAGTAGGGGGAAGAGGAAGTATTTAGTAAAGGGAGAGGTTAACAACGTAGATCAGTATAGCAATCGCAGTAAGAATGTTGATTAGAACAAGGGGCGTTTGAATACAGAAGAAGGGAGAGGAGCTCGTGTTTGGAGAAAACAAGCAAGAGAAAGAGGTGGGAAGGAGGAGGAAGAGAATGGAGTTTAAAGTGCCGAATTTGCGCTAGTGAATCAATCGTAACCAATATTGGTGGATATGAATCACCAAATTATACAGAGAAATGCAAAAATGAACAATTGCAGGTAATTTGGTAACCCAGATCAGAGAAGCATAGATCGGACACAACTGCAATAACTGCATTGAATGTTGTAGTACAGCATACGATGACGATTTGACAATCTGGCATTGACCTTGGCCTATCGATTATTTCGCTTTTAAGCAGCTACCTGATGGCAATGATGCAAATTGGTACCTCACTGCGCCAGTCGTATATACCCCTCCATTTCATCATACCGCAGTTCGGTTGGTCTACACCTGACACATTTGGATTCAAGTGTTGCATTTCTGCAGCTCAGTGAAATCAAGGCTAAAATTTGTCCCAAATGCTCACTAAACCATGCTGCTACTCGATCTTGCGAATAGTGGAGTTGCGTGGGCAGAATAACCTGATGTCCAAACCGATGGATCTAGGGTGAATCAAAGGTTACAATAATTAATGCCATATAAGGTAGATGAACGATTTGCAAATTGCCTTTTTTGGATTAAAAAAAGGTGGCGCCCAGTTATTCTCAGGGGTCAATTTGGTGACGGTTTGGGTGAGACGTGAAGGCATAATTAGAGCAACATATGGAAGAAATAGAGCATAATCGTAAGGAATGGTAACCAGACGCCAGTAGGTCAAAGTGCTGCTAGACCACCTGAAATACCCTCCATCCTTTCACTGATTAAGGATTTCCAAACAGGCATGCCATGAGGACCCCAAATAGACCTCTCTTTTCATTAGAGCTCCACCCCAAAAGACGATGACATCTTGCAGCTGTATCAGCACAAACAGAGTTTGATTGTTGGAATAAACCTATGAAACTGATAGTCTTGGAAACAATTTTTAAGATTATGTCCACCTTGAACGGCCATTGAAAAGCACCTGGTCTTATTTTTAATTTAACAATAAAAGCGTAGCTGGAAACTTTCCAACTATATCCTTTTCCTGTACTAGCCTCCTACTCGTCGATATCAGCATCATTGTCTTCAGCTCCAGTGAGTTGCACAGAGCCATTTCCAAAAGCTGAGCCTAGAATTGGTAAACAGAATTTCTCTAATGGCAATCTTTGGGCCAAATTTACGCTAATTCGTCCTTCTGTTCCACCACCACTTCTACCCACTCATTAATCCTCATTTTTATTTCACAATAGATGAACAAGCCTTAGTCACAAACACTCATATTTAGGCCTGAAATTTACACCCTGACACGGCTAGTGCCACTGATTCCCCCACACTCCACACCGACCACAGCGGCACTAATGCTAATAATGCCAAACCTGGTCCAAACCGACAAGGCATTAGCTCTTGAGCATGTCTTGACGATGCAGATCATTTCGGTGAGAAGAATAAAGGCACGAAGGCGTGAAAAGTAGAAATTGTGAAAAATCGGTGCTGATGAGACCCCATGTTGGAGGTATGAGCGAATTAATTACTGCCTTGGCAACGGCGCCAATGTGACAAGACATTTTTGAGAAGCTGACTGCCTCAAGAGTCACGGAAGGGCACGCGTGAAAGAAAAGACAATCGCATATTCTGTCCGCCTACATGCAGACCGATCGCTAACATCTGGCATGTCTCTTTATATCTGTCGCCTCCTCCCCCTCCACCCTCAACCATGTTCCGCTAACTGACCTCCGACTTCTCGCTGAGGTATGCATGTCATTGACGCCTAAGCGGTGGGTGATGACAACTCACATGTCACCAGCATTGTTATCATCACTTTGACGCATGCATGCGTGATCATGTCTTGATGACTGCTCTCAAATGAAGTGATCACGTATCTACTG